CTACTTATAAGCATGACAGCATTTATTCCTGTTGAATAAGGACAATTTAGCAACTGAATCTAAATGGAAAAGGTAACCCCAAAAAAGCCCATTTGTTCTCTTCCCTTGTTTGGTCTAAAGCAGCTACTCTTTACATTTGGACTGCTGTGTAAAAAAAAAAAAAAAAAAAACAACAAATTAAATGTGTAGGTAAAATTTGCATTTTCATTTTCACGTATAAAGCTTTGTGCCCTTATTAGTATAGTGTGTCTCTTTAGTGCGATTTCATAAGCTTTTAAGATAGCAAGCTTGTAGATTATCAATCTCTGCTAATTACCACCTTTCCTAGTGTTAAAAGTGACATAATTAGAGTGGTGCTGTAGATATATTTACCTGGTCAGCGCAGAACCACACCTGCGTAAAGCAGACCGGCCATCCTCATGGAAAAGACTTTGGCACATGACTGAACTAAAGCTGATTATCAATAAAACAGCCCAGCAGTGAAAGGGGACAAGAGCTCCTGTTTTAGAGAAGAGCGTGCAGCATCCAACTGTGGCAAAAATGCCAGGATTTTCACCCAGAAACGTGGAGACTAGATGCTCTCTTGCCACCACCACATCTGAGGGGCAGCGGATGACAGCTTATTAGACCATGTCTCAGCTTTATAAACAATGTGAGCAGTTTTTGCTTGAAAACTCACTTCTGGTGACCTTAATCACTTGCTGATACTGAACATGACAAGGGCAGATAGTCCTTATTTCTCAGCTGTCAGGCGAAACTGCCTGTTCTAACTGACAGCATCTCAAGGAAAAGTAACTGGGTAAACTGAAGATGAAGGCACTGGAATATGCCATGTGAGATTAAATACTCAGCAAGCCTTTAAAAAGCTCTGTGCACAGATGAGATGTGGATTTACTCACACTAACTTTAATAGATTTTCATCCTTTGACCACTAAGCATCTTTTTCCTCCCAAAAGGCTTTTTTTCTCCCCAACCCAAATTACATTTCTCCAGTGTATCTCCTAGAAATAACTGAATTGACTTTGCTGAAATTACATTCAAACATTGATACACAAAGATGACACGCTAGAAATTTATGGGATTAATATTTATGGTTTACATTAGTAAAGCTGCAAAAAGTAAACCCAAGGAATTAGAAACTGCTGAGCAACTTCAACTGTACTTGGGATCTCCACAAGGAATAAAAATCATTCATGCAGGTTCATATTCCTGTAGCACTGTATGTCCCAGGAGATCCCAAAGGATTTAAGCGATCCAAGCCTCTCTAATCTTATAAGCTTTGTCATCCCTTCATGGCTTTAAGGAGATGGTCTTCAAATTAGTGTAGCTGCTCATGTCAGAGTTAGGAGCTACTTGCTTCCATGAAATGAAAAAGTAAAATCATTATTTAAATCAAAAGGTGCAAACCTTTTAACAAGTATCTGTATTTTTGCAAATACCGAGTACATGAGTTTGTAATCAGAAATCTTACCGCTGCCAGAACAGAATCATAGAACAGTTTAGGTTGGAAGGGATCTCTGAAGGCCATCTGCTCCAACCCCTCCTCTTCCCCTCATGCCAGCCCTTGCTCAGAGCAGGACCAGCTTCCGGCAGGTCACTCCGGGCTGTGTCCGGCTGGATTTTCAGTCTCTCCGAGGATGGAGGTTCCACAGCCTCTCCAAGCAACCTCCTCTAGTGCTCTGTCACTCTCACCTTAACACTGCTCTAGCAGACACAGCCCATCACCAGGAGACACACTTCAGCTCCCAGATCAAAAGAGTTCTGGCACTGCTTGTTTAGGTGAAGCTCAGCTCTCTGCACAGTAATACATAATGGTAGAAATGCGCTTTCCATCCAACTAAAATTGCAATAGAATATTGAATCACTTTTTTTTTAAAAAAAAAAAAAGCATTGCAGGATTTTACTATGTACATATGATCAGATCTTATTTACATTTCAACATAAAACAAACATATCATACATGGCCTAATTTCTGGTACTAATTTCTATGAAGCAGTAACATTAGAGCAAGGGGTGATTTATAGTAAGAGACTTGGTGATTTAATGGAAGCATGAGGTATTACAGAAATCTTTCTGCTAAAACACAAGTGAGGAAACAGTTAACAATGTTAAATTTTCAGTATTAGAGTTCAGGATAACAACCAGCTGCTTGAATGCAAGTGAGGAAAAATCCATACATCTTCCAAGCTGACATTTCAGTCAGCCTGCTGGCAGCATTTAGATGCCACGCACTGCTGTCACATTCCACCTAGCTTCTGAATGCCAGCTTTGCAATGCAAAATATTTAAACATAATCCTTACATCTTCCAGTTCATGCTTCTGCTAAGCTAACGTATGTTGTAAATTCCACAGCCAGGGAACCACGTGCATGAGATTCTCAGAAAGACAGTGTTTTCTGGTTGTGTAGCTGCTTTTCAAGCAGCTTTTGTACACTCTGTGCATTTCTGACCTGGTTTTTCTCTGTGTTCTTCCTAAGGAACGGCTATGTAGTCATTTTAATCTGAAATAAATCTGGTCCATCACTAGCATGGTCAATCCCATCATTCTTGTTCCCACCTGCTCACACTGTCTCCCTTGTGCCAATTCTCTCATGCACCTGAGCAATATTAGAGAACCCATTCTGCTGAAAAAGCGGGTTTTCCCAGTTTGCTGAGTTAGGTTTGGCTTCGTGCTACATTTAATCTGATCTAACTCTTTCCATCCCCTCCCTGTACTGTCCACAGCATGCTAGAAAACAAAGTCATGAAAAAAAACCTGTTTTTTGGAGTCGGATCAGTTCACTCATCCAGCTCACTGCACAGCCCTTTCAATAACAGCACAAGCATGAAGAACAAGTGCTTGGGACTGAAAAGTAGGCACCTCTCCTTTAATAGCAGCCTGGATGCATGCTGGTTTAAATACACTGGTTTAGCTGTTTATCTCACAGAAGTACTTTGTCAGATGAAATATTAATAAACAAGTTAACAAGAGCATATAAATCATAACCTTGCAAGCTTTTTAATATACTACTATAGCAGATGATGCATATTTACTTTCTCATTCTTGGCTTATTCTCATCTTTTCTTCAGTGTATGTCTGTTCACTATCGTACTCAGAAATACTGGCCAGTATTTACCTCATAATCTATGCAAAACCAGAGTGCATGCCCATGTCCTAAATAAACCCTAAAGCAAAACCAATTAGAACAAGATGAGTCAACAAAATCTGTTTATTTTCATGCAGTATTCTTTAATGACCACAAACATTAGATGAAAAAATTGAAACAATTGAATACAAATATCTGTATAAAAGCAGATTTCAAGACCTTACCCAAAAAATATCTATTTGGAACTCCTTTAAAAGAGTAACACTTCACATCCTTGTGGTGATCAACAGCATGGTAGAGAGAAATGCTTAGCCTACTGACAAATATTACAGTTGTAAGAAATATGAATGTCTTGATACTCTATATAATCTTTGTACAAAATTGTATTTTACTACCATTCTAACAAGCATAATGACTGTATGAATACTATTTGTATTTAAAAAGATACAATGACAGTGGGCCACCCTCAGACTTGTCTAGAACTGCTGTTTGGTATACGGTACAGGAAAATGGCCTACACAAAATAGAACGTTTTCATTGTTCAGACACACAGCCTTGTGGTGTTTTAATATGCTGGACCAAAACAAGTTTAGCTGGTGAGAAGTCGTCTTTGTTAAGACTTTTGTAAGATCACAATCATCTTAAAATGTAAATACAGAAGTGACAGGCTGAGTGATGTTTAATCTAGAGATTAAGATACTTCAACTGTACTGGAGGACAGATACAAATGAATGAGCTTGGCTTACATAAAGTCAGTTAGTTTGGTAATTTGTCCAAGATTATTTTTTTATTTACTAATGACAGTAACTCAGGGTGTGGACTGACATTACAGCTAAACAGCATAGCCAACTACTGTCAAAGGACAGCCCTGCTTCTGGCACACCCAGCCAAATGCTCCTGACATTTCCTTCATGCAAACACTGGGACTCATCTGATGCCATACAGAGGCAGTTCAGACCATTAAAACTTCAAAAAACTAATCAAAAAGCAACTATTAATCTTCCATAAGCTTGGCCCTGTAACCTTCATAACTAAATATCAACATATGTACACAAGTATTTTAAAACTTTACAAAAAACAATTTGAAAGCCCTGTAAAGGAGCAATACTTCATGTCTCTCTTGTGAGACATAGGCCAGGGAAAGGAAAAATCTGACCAACTCTATGGTTGTTTTTAGGGAATATGAAAGTTTTTATCTTATTTTCTGTAATTTTTAAAATGTGAAAATGAAGGTAAACGCTAGTAGAAATTTTTATTTATGTTAGAAACTGTTATTCCGCCTCTGGAGCTCTGCTTATCTAGGTGTGTAGCTTTTTTAAAAATAATTTCAAAGTGACTCTGCAGTCAGACTTTTCACCCACCAGAAACTGTGGGCTAATCTAAAAAGGGACACCTTTTAAGTTCTGAACAACAAATCTGCAGTCAGAAACCTACTGTTACCCTGACCTCCACGAAACTGAAGTTGTAACTTTGTTTTTAGGTGCCCCTCCCTTGCACAAATGGTTTTCCAGTTCTCAGTGACCTCCCAAGTCCCTTTGTACCCAGCAGCCAAGAGTCCCTCAAACAGGAGCAAGGAACGGCAGGTCATGTCGCCGTGCAGGCGGTCTCTGCCCGTGCCGAGCCTGCCCGGGAAGCTCACTGCTCCCTCCCAAGTGACAGCTGCTGCACTCGTGCCGCCGGCAGCCACGCCGAGCACTCGTCAACCACCGGGGCCGGCGTTCCCCGGCGGTGCCGCTCCGCGGAGGGAGAGGCGGGCAGGGGAGCAGGCCGCCGCGCCCCGGCCCAGCCCAGCCGCCCCCGGCCCCCAGCCACAAGCCCCGCCCCGAGAGGCGTCACAAGCACCCGCGGCGCGCATGCGCACCC